TAAAAAAAAAAAAAAAAAAAAAAAAAAAAAAAAAAACCGGCCGGCCGGCCGAACCGGACGGACCGGTTCCGACCGGCCGTCGTTTCCGGACGGCTTTCTTGCCGTCCGGCCGGCCGGTCCGGACAGCAACGGTCCGTCCGGCCGTGCTTTCCGGCCGGTATCCCTCGTCGTCCGGCCGGCCGGTCCGGACGGCTTTTAGTCCGTCCGGTTCCAGCGTCCGGACGGCTTTTAGCCCGTCCGGAACCGGCGACCGTACACGTATTTTTTCGTACCTCCAAATTTGACGACATTTCACCGTACACTTTCCTCTGAGATGTTTAGAAAAAATGAGAAGGGCAAAATTGTCCAAGGGGGGCGGTGACTAGTAAAATGGGGGGCGGTGAATAACAACACCCCAACCAAATCTCGATCACATTTGATGCAGCTCCAGATTATTAAAACTGTTGCTCTTAGACATGCACCATTAGCTTGACGATCAAAGTATGCACAAAAAATTATGAACCACAAGAATTACAAAAATTACACACACAAAAAATAAAATAAAATAAAATAAAAAAAAACAATAATAATACACCCCCTTCCACTTTTCTCTCTACTTCCACTTCACCTCATACTTATATACAACAATGCTTTAGTCAAAATACAAAACCTGTTGCAACATTTTCATTCACTAAGAGCTAGCGCAAAATTTTGTTTTACCGGCATCAATTTCCCAACTTGAAGTATATTACTCCACAGAATTTGCAAACTCAGCTGCTTGTCTATGTTTAATCTGCCAAGTATCGTGCCTTTGGAAATAGGAATTGGATCACGAAATTCCTTTTTACCGAAATTAAGCCATCTCTAGAAGCTTAACATTTCCCATGGAATTTGCAGCCACTAAGGTGGTTGATTGACCACGCCAACAAACAGACGAGATGAACTGTGAGGTGTCGTCCACTTCATCACCAGAAAATGGATCGGTGCTATTGAATTTAAAAGACACTGCCGGCATTGGGAGAGCTTTGTGATAGACAAAAACCTGTATGTATATACAACTATGTCAACTTGAATCGGGAGGAAAAAAGCGGAAGAACAGGTAAAAAGGAAAAGAAAAAGAGATTGAACAAAATGCTTAAAATATAGAATTAGCAACACAAGGAAAAAAAATGGGTAGAAAAAATCGCTTCGTTCTTGTTCTTCACTTTTTTCTTTCCTGATATTTCCACATTGTTGCCAAAGAAACAATGTTGAGTAGAAAATAGCAGTATTTTCACAGAGAAATTGACTTGTCTAAACCCCCTCGTTTACTTCATCTCACTACTTCAAGTTGAGGTTAACAACTTGGATGTGAAGATCTTATCTACACGTGGCAAAATGACCAACTCAACTTAACAAGGAGAAAAAAGTTTTGTGTTTCAACAGGGTTGGGATTTCCACCTTCCCTTTAATATGGAAAGGGAATGAAACTCTCGAGAATCATGCCACGACATCTATAAGATCAAAAGCCTTCAGGTAACGACAAAGTACAAAGTACAAATTACAATAATAATATTTCATACATAAAAACACAAACACATACACACTATATATATACATTAAAAGCAACATCACCGGACATCAGTTGATACCAAATTTAAATCACAACATTTTCTGGTATTGCACAGAGTAACGATGTGAAGTGAAACGTGGTGTACCTCATTTGTCTCCGAGCCAGTTGCAATATAGCCTTCAGATACAGACAGGCCAACAAAATTCTGAAACAAAGAGTAAACATATCATCAGGACTCAACCATGATAATGTTTTCATTACACAAATAAGGCTCAACAAGGTAATTTCATTCAACAAAGAAGAGGAGGATGCACACACCAAACAAAATCTACCAAAAAAGCGAACCCACAACTTGACCTGAGCAACATAAATAAAACTCGTATCACAACAAACAAAACTACTCTAAAATGCCATTGGACACATAAGCTTTCCTTTCCTTAAATGAAGGTAACAAGATTACCTTCAAATTGAGATGGCCCGTGTACGTCTGAACAGGACAATCAAGAACTCTTGATGTACATATAGACAGATCCCATAGCTTTATCGTGTTATCAGTCGAAGCAGACACAAGAGTTGTCGAGTCAATAAACTTCACATAGCTCACAGTCTTATTATGCCCCACAAGAGTACACAGGGGAACTTTTGAGTTGCGAAGATCGTAGTAATATATCCTATGATCAGCCGAACCAAAGGCTAAGGTTCGACCCGAATCAGTGGGGAACTGAACACAGCACACATTGGCCTTTGTCCTAATTGTGCCCACACTCACTCCCTGGATTTACCGTCCCATGCAAGAAAAAACGAAGAAAAAAATATTATGTACTCACAATTTCATTACACCATGCACCGTTTAACATTGCTTTTTTATTAGTACGTTTAGTGTTTCAAAGTTTGACATTCACCAAGTGCAAAAAATAGAATTGCCTGATTGATATTCCATAGCTTGACGGAACCATCATCGCTGCCGCTGGCCAGCAGAGTGGGGTCCGCCACCGAAAAGTCAACAGACCACACCCGACGTTCATGTTCTCTCATCTCCATGAAAGCTTGACTTCTTGTAACGTCCCATACCTGGAAAGAATATATCGAGTGAAGTAATTAGTGATCTGTGATTAGAGCAAGGATATAGAATATAGGCATAACTGCACGAACTACCCCTGTTTGTTTAGCGTTATTACAGAACACTGCAATTGTATAATCAATTACAAATACCGCCTTAAATCGCGGCTGTCTAATATTTCCATTCGGATTTTAGTTATTTCTTTTTCACTTCCAGTTATTAAGAGAAAAAAAGTAAGAATTTGATTGTGTTAACGGACATGAGCTTGAAATGACATTATAGAAGTTGAACGATATAGAAAATCGTATAAAATGACTCAGAATAATTCGAAATGTTAAAAATATGAGCTAGGTAATAACGGAATTTGTGAAAATATAATAACTAGCAGTGACTTCGTGATTACTTAAAAGTAAAAAAATTGAGCAGAAACTGATTGATGGGAGAAAATAAGTAGAGTGAATGGTATATTCCTTGGCCAATTTCTTAGTAGAATAAACTATTTTCTTCTGTATCCAACAGAGCTAGAGCTAGAATGTGCAGTATATTTTTATTTACCGGTACTCCTATTAACAAGTCATAAATAAAAAACCCAGCATCAACAGAGGTATTTATGATCTTGGAAAATAACTGAATCCTTACTTAACAAGTATGCAATCCACAAGGGAAACAAAAATAATAGAAATAGTAACACGGGTTTCTTCACCCATCTTTACCTGCACCACGCCTTCAAAATTACTTGATGCAATCTGGCTTTTAATGTATCCATTCCAGCATATGCTGCTAAGCTTCGACCTACCAGCCATCTCAACAACAGGATAATGGATGTCCCGGTGCTCATTCACTATAGAACTATACTCAAACACCTTGATTTTCTTGTTCACACCTGCAGTCGCGAAAAACTCCCCATCACGGTCGAAACTAAGGGAGCAAACCAGGTTTGAAGAGTTCAGCAGATCCCCTTGCTTCAAATCCGCCTTCACTTTTAGCTTACTGAAAGCCAGATACTTGCAAAGTCCCTCAAGAAACGAGTTGATCCACCCACCTGGCTTGTCCTCATTAGTCAACTCTTTCGAGAATAAATTGCTGGTTGAGCTTCTTTCTGTCATAAACCCTTTTCCATCACTACAGACTCTTCCTATGGGCCAGCCCGCGGGCTTTACGGCCCGACGTCTCATCAAAAAATAAGCTGATTCTACTTTCCGGAAATTTTTCATCAGACGGGAATCCTGGGAGAGATTGCTTTCTGGGTAATGTCCATCTTCAGGTTCGTCCGGGAACTCATCTGGGCCATTGAAAACATCATGATCTGGCCTGGTTCGCTTTCTCGAGACCGAGAAGACAGGGTTACTTTTGTCAGTGATGCTCGTCAAATGGGGATTTTGAGATGAGTTATTGGCCAAGTCCAATTGCGAAATGCCTTTGCCCCTGAGGGCTGTCTGGAGCTTTGTTGCTTCTTCTATATCGGAGGATATACACGATATGGTCTCATGCAAGCTGTCAACTGCATCCTGTTTTTTCTGCTGAAGTGTGAGGAGGAATTCGAGTAGTAAATCCAGCTCCTCTACCTTTTCACCAAGCTCAATGGCGGCTTCCCTTTCCTCAAGATCATTCCTTGGCTCGTTCAAGAACTCACTCTGCAGCAGCTCACTGTTTAAAGATGTGCATNAAACAAATTGGAAGGATTAACGCATATTATCATAAAAAAAATCAATATGGATAATTGCAGACTGAAACGCACATGAAGAGACCTGGAAAATAGTTCAGGTCATTAGCAAGCGAGATGGACAGATATATCACGTTATGTTCACTTGATAAAATGATAACCATTCATGAAGAAATAAAAATATCATGGGGCATGTATCACAACAATCTCAATCCATTAATCAGTTTGATGTCAGTAAATTCATCCCAGAATAATTGACTTCACTGAACATATAACCACCCAATCAGCAGGTAATAAAACTACGCTGAGGAAGACTAATTCAGAATATGGGGAATGATTAATGAATATTGAACTGAGGGACATGGTTTCGATGTCTTTACGCAAGAAATCTTGCACATTTCAGCCATTGGCATTTAATGGTTTAACATATAGTTATATATGAGGGAAAATTCTCAATTTAATTGTAAACACAATTACATGACATGATTCCTGCACTAGACAATTGGTCTAAGGACCTGGTGTAGTCTACAGTACATCAACAAGAGGACTCTAGTGCAATAAGCTATTATTTCATTACGTGCTTCCAATCAAAGTGCATGAAACAAACAAAAAACTCACCCCACTTTGGGCCGACTACTTGGGTCAGGATGCAGCAACCACAAGCAAAAAGAAGCTTCTTTAGGCCACTTGAGAAGCAAATGCGGGGGGAGAACACGATGTTTCAGGTTTGCCATAGTTGAGCTTTTCTCCTCCAGGGAGCTAAAAGTGCAAAACAACTGCTCATACATGGAAATATTAACTAGTAAGATGCTTGAAAATTTAATTAGGGAGTGCTATCACAAACTTCTCGCATTAAAAGTAGTAAAGTACTGTAGGACCTAAAACTAGTCTAGATTTAGAATGACCAGCATCTATGTAAAGAAGCTAGAAATCGAATTAGCTAAAAGCATAATATCTCATGTATAAGCTAAAACTTTGATCACTTAAGAGATATTATCAAGTAAATATGCTGAAGATAAATCCCAAAATTAGACCCACCATCAGAGTCCAAAGCACCCTTCTCTGCCCTTTTATATTCTGATCAATTTAACGCATAACTAAGAGCTGAAAATTTGCAAACTTCAATAACTTTTTCCAAATTAATTCCAAAACATCCTCAAATCAACCATGTAAAATAAATTTTGATGCAGCACATATCTTAACCAAAAGTTCACTTTCATTCCAACAATCCACTATTCACTAACCTCAAAGAGTAAAACACCAAGTTGATAAACATCAGAAGCACAAGTAGCAACACCACCAGATAACTCTTCAGGTGTAGTGTACCAATTGGACTCCATAACCAAAATTTGTTTCATTGGGAAAGAGTGCTTCATATTATTATTTCCTATCCGTTCACTCCCACTTGCTTCCAAAGCATGCGCGGGCCGGCCCGAACAAGATTGCAAGCAACTGTTATCAGAATTAAAGCCCGCCAGCTGAGAATCTTCTAACGCCCCCAACTGAGTTACAGAGTCATGCTCGTGTTCTTGAGAATCTGAACCAGTATCCGAACAAGAAGCTGACTCAATAAAAGAAACCCGGTTAAGCGAGGACATGACAAAACAGGAAGGCCTAACATTGTGAACCACAATAGTCTCAGAATGAGCAAGTTTCACAATATCAACAATTTGCGTAAAGATATGAATGCACTCGAGGGAGTCGACTGCCCTTTTGGGATTATCTAACCACTGCCTCAAACTCACATCATTGCACTCAACAGGCCGGGCCATGGGCGGGCCACCAGAGGCGGGCCCATCCTCAGGGCTTGTGGCCTGAGCTTTAAAATTATGGGGCCAAGGATTCTCTGTACCTTTCCTCACAGACAAGTAGCCAGAATCGTGAGATGCGCTGTCACCTGAAAACCTGACGGTGTTGTTTGCTCGTGGAATTCGGCGATTTCTGTCCAATATAGACGAACTTAACCCTCTCCAACTTTCAGACCTCCGCCAATCAGACTCAGATGAGCCCTCCATACAAGCGGTATATATATGTATATATATATATGAAACTATCCGCCAATTAGTATACTCACGTTAATGCTAGGGTATACACGTAATCTTAAGAAATTGGTAAACGGTGCTTTGAAAATCTTCTCATCCATTCTGAAATCAGGACAGCGTTCGTGGTTTCAGAAATAAAAAACCCATTTTTTTTTTTTAAACAACTGCTTCTTCAGACTGTGACTACTGTATGTGGAGTTGCTCCCTCCTCTTGATCATAGATTCATATGCAGTTACACTGCAAAAAACCAACTCATGAAGCCAATTCACTAGAAACACAAGAAGAAGAAAAGGATGATATTATTGGGAGAACATCTGTTTCACACAATTTAGAGACACCGCTTTGTAAATAAAATAAAGCTGTGTGTGAGAGAGAAACGGCAACAGGAAGCAGAAGCAGAAGCAGAAGCAGAAGCAGAGTTAGAGAGAGAGAGAGAGTTTAGAGTTTAGCCGGAGCAAACGAAGAATAAGAACCACACAAACTGATGCTATTAACTTTGTCCTCACATCCCAACATTTTTTTTTTTTTCTTTTTCTCACGTCCCAACTTCAACAAATACATCAACAATAAAGAAACTTTCTTTTTTATTATATTATATTTTTTTTGTTTTTGGTATGAAAACACCACCGCCTCACAAAACTTTGCAACCACCGATTACAACGGAAAAAAGCAAGTTCGAAAATGAAAAAAACCACACACAAAACCCTGGTTTCACTGCTCTTATTTACAGCGTATTTTTAGAGAATCAATTAATTAATAATTATTTTAAATATTTGAGTTTCCACCGATTTGCAGCAGCCAACAGTAATATAGTAATGTTTTATCTACAGCCACAATTACTCCAGCTCCTTTTACAATTACGTGGCCCATACTCCACCTCAATCTCAAAGATTTGTTTTTTCCTAAACAAAAAACCGGCTAAAGAAGAAACATGAGGTTTATTTTATTCATTAATTTTTTAATAAAAATAATAAACCGTTCAGGACTTGTCTTCAACGAGTGGGCCCACGAGTATCTCAATTTCCGATGGCTCTATCATTGAACCAACAACAGTTCAAATATAAATTGCAGAACAATCGGCTTTACAACTTTAATAAGCGACGGACTAATTTAATATTGCTAATTGATGACTCAAAGCTAAGCTTTACTGATTGTTTAACCTTCAAACCATTTCTCTTTTTGTTGACAAACAGTTAGATTAATCGGTGGGAAGTTAAGTGCATTATAGTTTAATAATGTGAATTGGTAAACACCTCCCCTTTTTACTACTCATCGTCTTTTCTTTTAGAACGTTTTACCGATTAACAATATATTAAAAGAGTGATTAACATGCTTTGTTATATAGATACGTGTTCACTTAAAATTGAAATGGTAACAGACTTTGTTCATGAAAAATTGACAACATGTTAAAAGATTTTTCAATTTACAAGGCTTTGTTCATAAATTTTTCAACATGTAACATCATGTTAACCATTTTTCAAAGCCTGTTAAATCATTTCAAGTTTTAATAAGAATTACCATGTGAATATGACAACAATATTTATTTTATTAATTCATTTCAATTTTTAATATTCCCCAAACTTCAAATAATCATATTAACAATACGTTTATATGACAACATGTTTAAAGATAATTAATTATAATTTATAACATAATAATTTCTAAATTTTTACATAATAATAATAACTTTTAATTTATAACATAATAATTTCTAAATTCTAAGATAATTTCAATAATAAATAAAAATTTTATAAGTAATAAAAAAACTGTTGGCTGTTGCGGCCGTTCGCGGTGCGACCGGCCCGCAATTGCGTCCGTCCACGGTGCGGCCGGCCGGCAATTGCGGCCGAGCACGGTTGCAGTCGGCCGGTATTTGCGACCGTGCACGGTGGCAGCCGGTTTCGCCGTCCGGCAGCGCCAAGGTTTTTCTTTTTTTTTATACTTTTTGGAAAAAATGACAGGGGTAAAATTGTCTAAAGAGGGACGGTGCGTAGTAATAAGGGGGTGAATGGTGACACCCTTTAATAATACATCAAAAGAGAAAAGAAAATATGAATCCATGATTTGACTAAAATCGGATAATTTTTTATTTCTTATATCATATATTTTGGTCTTTTTTAAACATATTTAAATTTTTTAAGGTCTTGTACATGTGTTTACTGTTTCATTTTTCATATGAAATGATTAGAAAACTTTTCATATGTGGATAAGAAAAGTTAAAAAAAAATAAAAATAAACATAAAAAGAATAAGAAAAACTAAAATTTTGAACCCGCTATACATTGAAAATTAAAATAATAATGATATTAATATTTTTCATATTATGTGATTGGTCCGGTTATTTTAAAAAATAAAACCGCCATTGAGCTTAATTATCCGTGATATAAAAGTAAAAACAAATAATTAAATCAATATATAAAATTTTGAAATAAAAATTTGAGATCATACGGTTTCGGTCTTTATTGTGCAATTTAATAGTCAATAATGTGCAACTCGTCTAACACTATTGTGCAATTGCAGCGCACACATTTTTAATAATTTGATCCACACCAAACTTAAATCATTCTTTAATATTTATTTTATTCATTCGATTACCCGAATTAATTTAAGTAATATAGATGATTTATTACTTATATTATAAAAATATATTCTATGTTTTTAATATATCTGAAAATGCATTGTTAGGTTAATGTGCGTTCTCTAATGCATTAATGTGCATTCGGACTAACACTATGGTGCAGTCTAATAATCACTAATGTGCTTCTTGTGCATTACACACCTCATGTGGATCTAGCTTTCAACAACGTAGAACACATTGTGCTTCTTGTGCATTACACACCTCATGAGTCATGTGGATCTAGCTTTCAATAGCGTAGAACACATCAACCCATTATAAGAGATGTCGAAGGATCTGCATTGTGGATATTTTTATGTACAAATTCAAACTAACACCGAATCACAACAATTATTTTTATTCAATTGATTAACCGAACTAACTTAAACAATTGAAATAAATTATTATTTATATTATCAAAATGTATTTATTAATTCAATATTTTAATTGTTATTTTATATTATTTTTTATAATATTTTAATATTTTATATTATTTTATTTAATATATTTTATTACTTATTATTTTAATATATATGTATAAAAAATATATAAAAAATAATTTTTTCCTAAAGTTTCTATAAATTGCAGATTTCGCCCATGTACTAAATTAAAATATAAACAAAAGGTTTAAAATTTCAAATAGGCCCTTGCAAATTATCAAATTTTTAAAAATATCCTACAACCCCTTTTCGGCAAGTCGAGATGTCCGGCCGTTCTCGGCCCTACGACGACATCACGCAAATTGTCGGTCGTTCGTCGCGAGCTTCCAGGCCGTTACAGATGAAAGTTGCAAGAATTTGGTGCTGCCGCGAGTGAGGATAACGGATCTTGGTGGAGGTCCCTAGTGGTCTCCGATGACTGTTGTTGTGCGAGAGAGCAGGGACGTCGTTGTCGGTGGGGCTCGACAAGTAACTGCGGCGGCGGAGGCCGGTCGAATGTACGTGTATTAATGTATGTACACGTGTGTGTGTGTGTGTGTGTGTATGTTTATGTGTGTAATAGTGTGTGTGTGTATTGAAGTGTGTGTGCGTGTATTTTTTTTGTGTGTTGTGTACTACTGATGTGTGTCTGCGTGTGTATTTGATGTTGGTTGGTTATGTGGTGTGTTATGGTGTGGGTCCCACTGATAAAAAGAGTTACCACATTACCTTTAATGAATGTATAATTTTTATGTTGTTTAGCCATTAGATCAGAATAACTATTTACTAGAAATAGTAAGCAAAAAATTCGCCAAAATTAATTGCATATCACTTTGGAAATTTTTATTTTTATTTTTAAATTTTTACAATAAAACTGGTACGTAGCCCGTGCAATGCACGGGACATAAATATTAAATGAGTCATTTCCACAGAGCTTGTCTGTTAAGTAGCTCGTGTGATTACTTGTAGCTTTGTGACTTTTTGGCCCATTTAGGGTATTTTATATACAGGTTGGGGGTCGGCCTTAACCCCCCACCCTACTGGGGTGTTGGTTTAAAAAAAAAAGTAGCTTGTGTGATTCACGGGAGATATTAAATGAGTGGACAATAGGGTTTGTCAGTTAAGGCCTAAAAAAGTAATGAGTTTGATCATCTATTTTTTTACCTCTTTCATCAACGTCATCTTTTTTGTCGAGACATTAAACCTGAGCCCGGTAGTGGTAGCGCTAGACCGTAAATTAATTAATATATTATCTCGCTTACATGTTTATAATAATATAAATTTGATTTTATTATATATATTTATTCCTTGATATAAGAAGAATAACAATTTTACGTAATCTTGTTCCTCGAATAATACTCATATTATTTTATTATAAAACTTATTGTAATAGCATGCTGACCCGTTTATATTATTATAAACAATATTTTAACATATATATTTATTTTTTAATACAAAATAATAATAATTTTACATATTTTGGTTCATCATAATACTCAATTATTAATCTATCAAAAAACCTATTATCATATAATGTCATTATCATTTATAACACTTGTAAAAGTAATATATTTTTTATATAATGATAAATATGTGATGTATATTAATATTATTTAGTGATGTAATTAATTTAAAAGATATAAGCAAATTTAATGTTTGGTAGGAATGTGATTATATGTAAGTTGAGATAAAATGAAATGTATCAAAAAAATTTGCTTATGATATTTTCCATTAAATGTTTGAATGAATTTGAAATTCAAATTACAAATCAACCTCTAGTTATTCAAATAATTCTAAAAAAGCTACCAATTGTAGTAAAATGTACGTGACAATATATTATAAATATACATGACGTCATTAATGTTATGAATCTTTAAGTTCCTATGTATATATTGTTTAGATATGAAACTAATTAACTTATATGTTAAGATAATATATATAAATATATGTATTACGAAATATACACGTGACAAGTTATTATATTTGTTTATATATTGTTTGTATATTTGCTTGTATTGTTTATTATATTTGTATATAAATTTATTGTTTATATATTTTATCTGTATTGTACGACAAATTATTATATTTGTTTATATATTGTTTAAATATTGTTTAGATATGAAACTAATTAATCTATATGTTAAGATAATATATATATAAATATATGTATTGTATGAAATCTTTAACGTGTTTGTTAAATTTTTCCCCTAAAAAATTCAAAATACATTTAGGCATGTTTTGTTTGAAGTTTGAAATTCAAATATGCATTTGTATAACAAATCCCATGATTTGTGCTTTCCCTATTTTTTTGTTTACTATTTTTAAAAAAATATTAATTCTTATTATATATATATAGATTGGACAACATTTAATGCTTCTTACGGTGAGTTTTATTCCTTTCAAATCTTAAAATTGCGGCTAATGTTGGACATTAAACATACAGGATTCTGTTCAATTTAAAATTA